AAAAGAAACTAATCATCAACATCTATCTTGAATTTGAATTTTTTTATTAAACCTTTGACTAACGGGTTACCATAATTAGGTTAATAATATTTTCCATAATTAATTAAATTTAATTTTTAAAAAAATTTTTAAAAGAATTGGGAACAAGTCATCGAATGTGAGATATTTTTTTATTGATAAATTGCTTGTCGAGAATACATTTAATACTTTATAGAATAACGATACTGTAATTGGAAACAATATAATTGTTACACAGTATATAAATCACCCTAATGGATGCCAATCGAGACAAATATTGAATATGAGATAATCTAATTTCTAAATCATTGGGCCTCTCACTCTCTTACCATCCCGAGTTAACCGCAAGATATCTGCAAAAATCCTTATACTGTACAATGCATTCAAAACGATATTTTTCGAGATCAGCTAATTTCTATGCCAATCCAAAGTTAATCACATACAGTATACGTACTGCGCATCTCGAGTAAAACCTTGATCGGATATACAATTTGGAATGGTATGATTTCATTTAATCAATTAACATACATAAGCAATGTATGTATGTGGATTATCCCGCAAGGAAAGTCAGAACCGAGATTATCAGTTGATCATGAATGGTCATTCATTTGTAATTATTTCAGAACCGATGATCCACTTTCAAGGGAAATTTTCTAATTCTATATAAACATTCTCTTTGCTAGAGGTCCTCTCAGGTTTGTCAACCGTGTGCATTTCTGATATCACATCGATCGTTGTCTTCAATAAAGAGTTGTCACTGGTGACACTCTTAATATTTTCCTACGCACCGTACATCACGCATTCACGCATCTACCTTATTTCGCTCTCTTGGCCCGTCATGAAAACCTTGCCATTCATATTCGCGTTTGTTCTGGGTTTCGTAAGTACTACTAAACCAGCACCTGTCACTGAGCCCACTGCTCCATACACTATTACCTTGGTAGAGCGTTCTCCATTCGACAATCTTGATTGGCCTCAGTATCTCGAAGCTCAGAAGAGACACTTATCCGTGGATCGATATCCTTCATTAGTATCGGACGAAAATGGAATGCATTTGGACAGACGTGGGAACAAGGCCGGTGCAATTGGCCTTGATGTTAGTCTCGTTGGTCCCATCACTGTTGGTCAACAGAAGTTTGATGTAGTCTTTGATGTTCAGACGGCTACGCTCTTTGTGCCGTCGGTGAAGTGTAAATCGTATGCTTGTGTAAATCAAAATAAATACGATGAAAAAAAATCAAAAACATTCAAGTCACTCAATGATCGCCACACTCAAGTGTACGGCTCTGGGCCCGTCGTTATGGATTTTGGATTGGACGATGTCACTGTCGCAGGATTCACGGCAAAGAAAACAGCATTTGGTGTCGCCATCGAAGAATACCAGGGAAGAAAGATCATACCTCCTGGTGATGGGGTATTGGGAATGGCACTCGAGGGGCAGGCCTATAAAAAAAGATCAGCACCCTTTTCAACACTGTTCAAGCAAGGTAGTTTGAAGAACCCTGTTGTAGGGATCTATGTTTCCGGTGGAAATACATCTTCCTTGACAGTTGGCGGTGTTGATAAAACAAAGTTTACCGGTCAATTAAAATTTGTCAAGACAATAGATCCCGCCGGACATTGGTTCATACCCATTGAGGGTATATATGTGAACAATAAATTGATAAAAATCAAACCAATTCCACCGTTTCCGCTTGGTGCCCTTATTCATTCTAGCACACAATTAATGAATATTCCCCGACAACACGCAGCTATTATTTATAAGTCAATTCCCGGTGCAAAGTTGATTGACGAAGCCAATGGAATTTATGGTGTACCTTGTGACACCGAGGAAACACTTGCATTCCAATTCAATGGCTTAACATTTAGGCTTACGCCGAAGGATTGGATAATGAAGCGTATCGATAAAACAAAGCTTTGTCAAGGGGGATTAGTGGGACACCCAAGAGTCAAATATTGGGTTTTGGGCACAATTTTCATGAGAACTGCCTATACTGCGCTTAA